GGTACCGTGAAGCCTACAGAGGCAGAAGGGTCCTGTTAGTGAGAAGAGGGGTCCCAGGCCTTGCTGGGCCCTGCGTATTTTATCTCTAGAAACTTCATGGGAGAGTAAATAAAAACCACTCGAATTGTAGGCATCAAACACTTATTAATTCTGGAAGTGCCTCCTCACCCTGTGCCCTTCATTGACCCCAACAATGGGCATACACCAGGCAGCTTAATAGCCATTGTCCCCAATCTAACCCTACCCACAAGCCTGCCTGGGACTCCTGTGTCCTTCCCACAGTGGTCTAGCCTCAGGTTCTGATGCTGGCACTCATCACCCTAAGGAACCGAAGCCAGACCCCGATGTATCGGGTACCACCTGCGTCTGCTCAGTTTTGTCCCTGGGGCTGATGTATGCCTTCGTGGCACTATTTGAGACCCAACGTCCAGAGAGAGGGACCTTACCCTAGAGCTGGGGATACAAAACACTGACAAGACCCCATGTGGAGTCCTCGGCAAGCCATCAATGATAAACAAGCCGGCCGCAGACAGAGAAGTTGCTTAAGAAGCCAAATTAATGGTAGGCAGCAGACAAGGGCTCTTTAGTGCCCAGCGGGAAGGGGCAGGACCAAAGGACTCAAGTTCCACCCCTGCCCCGGCCTTTCTGATGGTGATAGAGCGGACTCCCAGCACAGACCCCAGCCAAATCCCACAACACTAGAACTTGGACTCCTGGGGGAAGAGACCCGGCTGGCCCAGCCAGTTTTCTTTTCCCCCCAGAAAATCTGGGCTGGGGGAGGGGAATCGCAGACTAAATCACATGCACCTGACTTCGGCCTCCTCTTCCAGCCCAAGGCGGAGAGAAAGTGGGTCAAGAGGGCTGCAGGGGGAGAGGCTGAGACGCACTTAAAGGCCTGTAGGAAGTTCAGCTGGCTGGAGACGAGGGTCCGTGGACACAGCTCCGGGGGACAGTGACATGCCACACGGCAGAGACATGTGCATCCCACCTCCCACAGCTGTGAGGACCCTGGGGCTTTACCTGGCATATTTCCCACACTTTATTTTGAAGCCAAATAGTTCTGTTTCTGTATTTTTACAGCCTACCTCCTGCCTGGAGGCCAGATACACAAGACAAGTAAGAAGTCTTTTTGCTAGTGCCAGCATGTAAGTTAAACACGTCTACTACCTAGTGCCATTCCCTAGAGCAACTCCAGAAAGCAGCCATTCACCTTGCAGGCTAAATGAATATAGCGCCCTCTACAGGCAACCATTTACACTGTAGGTTATATGAATGGGGAGTGCCTAGATGGTCTCACAGTCAAGCTTATAGATAATCTTGAGGATGGCCTTATTTCTACTGAAGGAAACTGCCTACGCTGTTCCAACAATAGACCTATCTGACACAGTCCAGTGATGAGCCTTCAGCAAGGCTCACAGGACTGAGAGCAAAACTCCATCCTTCCGGTCCTCCATTCCTCCTCAGGCCCAGCCACAGGCCTTGGGAAATGTCCCCAAGGCTTTCTATCATCTTAGCCATCCTCAGTTTGAGGACCATGAATAGCGGGGCCACCCAGTTACCACCTGTCCCTCTGTGAACAGATATCACAGCAACACCGTATTATCCAGAAGTGGCTTCCCCCAACTATATTCATCTGCTGTTGGGGACAGAGGAGCAGTGAATGGGAGGGGAAAAAAACAAAACAAAACAAACCAGGCAATGTGCCAGTCCAGGGAGCTCCAGGGTGCACTTCCTCTCATGTCACAAACTCTCCTGATGGGCCAGCTTTACTAGCTCCCTGGAACACGCTGGATTAGACCAGATCATTAGAAACGACCGAGTGTGCTTGGGAAGCAACATGAGGACTCAAGTTCGGATCCCCAGAACCCACATAAGAGCTGGATGAGCATGGTGAACCCCTACAAGCCCAAGACTTGGAAGGCAGAGGCCTGAGATCCCCAGGGTAAGCTGGCTAGCTACACTAGCCAGGGTTAGAGCACACACACACACACAGTCACCAAGGGAAGAAAGAAGGGCCCAGAACTCAGAAAGGTACACCACTGTACACCACTACCAACAGACACCTACTGTTCTGAGAGTGCAGAGTACTGAGTCTCCCTCCCCAAAGGCCTTGATGTGCCCGGTCTTCTCTCACAGTGGCCACTAGGAGTGGCCTTCTGCATATCCTCATTCAGGACAGTCACCTCGTCACCTCGTGGGTCTGGCTGTCCTAAAGACACCAAGATGACATGTGGTCCAGCTGAGGGCGGGGCCTCAAGTGAGGTGAGAGAAGATGGAAGGATGTACAGACTTTACCAGTCACTTAAGGCTAGGACAGGCCAGGGACAGGCCCTCCACCTAGACACAGTCATCACAAGGCTCATGGCATCCCCATGGCTGCCCTGAACCGGCATCAGGGAGCCCACCATTAGTGACGGGGACATGGCAGCAGAGACATGTGGCATGTAAGCAGTGTGGACCTGCCTGTTTTAAAGGGTGCCTGCTTCCCAGGGCCACCTGCTCTCTAGGTGGGGGTGAGAGGCAAAGGGTAGGACTCCTGTTCACGTGGATGTGGGCTTTCTTTGTTGAGAATCCCCAAATCATCTTGTTGTCTAACTCTGGCTGCTCCTGTCCCATCAGAGAGCACTGTCAGGCAGGCTGTCTCCCCAGGTGGCCCTGTGTGTGTCAACACCCCACCACTAGCCAGGGAGGGCCCCTGGGCTTCCTGACTAGCCATTACTGGGGGATGAGTTGGGCCCGCCAAAGACAAGAGCACTCAAGAACTCCGCGGTGGTCTTGGCTGGCATGGCTACCTTTGAGTCACGTTTGCTGAACCTTTTCTGCCAGAGAGAGGCTCGCTTGCCACCCTGCATATACTGCAGGTTCTTTTCCTCTGGGGACCTAAACCAGCTCCTTCAGGACTGGTTTTCTGTACAACTCGGTGTCCCCCTGGAAGGGACAAAAACATCCAGTAACCTTCCGCACGGGTGGACACATGGCCTGGGGCTCCAGCCTTAATGTGTCTAGCAGGGTCTTACAGGAGTGTGGAAGGCCCCACTAGGCAGCTGGAAAAGGACAGACTTGGAGTCTGAGTCATGTGGGAGTGTCCAGCACATGGTCCATTTACATAGAAAGGCTCTACCCACGAACTCCGCTCAGCTTGTGTCAGCCCAAGATCCACCAGTAGTGTGCCTGGCAATGGTGGGCACCTGTTTGTGAGTTCCTAATGGGGAAGTCTCGTCACTGCCCATAATAAGCACAAGTATTCCGGAAAATGCTGGTGGGGATACTAACTGCCTGTCCAATGATGAAACTGAGCACCGGCAATCATGAGGAGCCAGGAACCGGGGCAGGACCTTTGAGGCTGGATGCTAAAGGCTTTGAACTCCTGAGTCCCTGTAACTTGTACTGGCTGCATGTTAGGCCTGACATCAGTCAGGGCTGAGTATGAGGACATGGATAAAGTGTCTTCTGAGAACACCAAGGGAAGCTAGTGTTCCTCCTAGAGGGAGCTACATGCCACCCCGTGGCTCCCTCAGCCATGGGTTTTGCCCAGGACACACTCCAGGCCAGGCTCCCTCAGTGGACCCTAGGGCCTGGCCTCAGAGCACCCAGGATGGGGGGTGTGCGCCCTGGTGGAGGTCCTGATGGATGCCGGCACAGGGGCGCTTTGTCCCGGCCTCCACTGTTCATACAGGGCAGACGCTCTGTGAATGGCACTGTTGTGGTATTTTAAGAAGATTCTACAAATAGCGCTCCCTCAGAATGGGCTTCAGAGCCCAGCTCATGAATGCCCCCCACCAGGGCAGCCGCCGGGAGCTTCAGTCGGACAATAGGGCCTCACAGGGAGTAGGCGGATGCCGGGTGACCCCAGCCACACTGCCCAGTCCCCCCAGTGGCTGCCCAGGAGTTTATTGGGAGGTGTGGCTCCCTGTCTGGGTGACATCCCTTCAGCACCACCTCTCCGGATCTCTAGGGATTTCCAGGCTCGGAAGCTGTCCTGTGGGTCAAGGGGGAGGGGTGCTGGAGGGAAGAGTGTCTGGAGATTTCCTCAGACACCGCTTTATTAGGTAGCCAGAGAAACCTCAAAGACCCACTGTCCGGGCAGACAAGGGCTATTAAACTGCCATCTTTGCAGAAGTTTGTTCTGGAGCTTTGGAGGGAGAGCAATGACCTGGATGCTAGAGGCCGGCAGAGGGAGGAAGAGAGGGTCACAGGTTGCATTCCTGAGGTTATCTGCAAGGCTGGGGGTTCAGTTAGTCACCTCCGGGAACCTCGGGAGTCTGGTCCCTCCACAGAGCCCTGCACAGCACTGGGAGGCTGAGGAAGGAGGTTCAGTGTGCGCTGAGGCACAGCCAGCACTCGGCAGATGGAGCCTCTCCCCTTCCCAGGTGAGACCATTCATCTCCCGTGGTTGAAGCATGCCCCGAACATGCCTGAACTGCTGAGAACCGGCAGGCATCACGGGAATTCCTCGTGACACCATTGAGTTCACACACCTCGGGCTGTGGAGGTCCAGTGGGCAGGACACTGGGAGCTTGCAAGGGATGGTAAGGGCAGGCTTGGCCAGAGGCAAAGTGGAGACAGGGGCTAAGTCCTGCTTTGTCCTTTCAGATTTAGACAGAAGTCTGAAATAGGAACCACTCTCAAGGGGATGGAGAGATGACTTGGCGGTTAAAAGCCCTTGTTGCTCTTGCCTGGGTTCAATTCTCCTCTGCCCTCCCCAGGCACAAAGCACACATATGGTGCACATACATACATACATACATACATACATACATACAGGCAAAACACCCAGACACATAAAATAATAAAATAGACAATTTTCTAAGTTTAATCATTTAAAAAAAATCACTTAAGGAGGTGTCCTGACAGTCACCACCCCAACTGCAAAGTATTCGAGGCCGGCCGGCCAAGGGTCAGGCACCACCTACTCTGAACCTATAGAAGTTCCACATTGGAGAGGCCACTGTGACATCACTGATGATAATCAAGGCTATCAAAGTCATACACAACATGATGGAGCCCCTGACTAAAGGCACCGTATCCGCGCAGCCCTGGTATGACACTGAGCTGAACCCCTTGCACACCGTTGGTGCTGTGGTTCCCAGTGTTCACTGGATCACTGAGGGCCAGAAGCATAGCAGCCCATATATTCCCGACCAGCCGTCAGCCTGAGCAGACTGGGGACCGGCTGCACCCGACATGGCACAGGGGACCATCCAAAGACAGACCCTGCAGGCCACAGACGGGCAGAGAGGAACCTGACTGCTGGAGACGCGAGGGAGAAGTGGATGGTCTCTGCGTGACCTTCAGTTCCTTCCAAACCGGATACCACCAGGGACACCCCAACCCAAACCCTGGTGTTTCAGGTTTCATTAGTAAAGGGCACATGATGCTCTTCTTGCCCATGCTCTAGACCTCACCACTGTCTGCCAAAGCTTCAGTGACAGGTACACAGTGAGGAGACAGGCAGCTGGACGGGAGGGAGCCCCACATTTGGCGGGTCACTGGTGGGAAGCTGCACCTACTTCCTCATCTCTAAAAGGAAATTAATAACAGAGTTCAGGGGTTCGCAGGGAGTGAATCAATTCCTGCATCTGAAGTGGCTAGGTCAGAGCCTGGCACACAGTGCTGTCTGTGTTACGAATGCTATCTTATAAGTCAAGGTATGTTAGGTAAGACTCATTTCCATTACTGGGCATTTTCAAGGCACCAGCACCACAATGTATGCTGATGCTCATTTGGATCTTAGCGAACTTGGTGAGACTTCTGGGACCTCTGCTTACAAAAGCTCTCCTTCTTTGGCTCAGAGAGTTCTGCCCGGCCCACGGCTCCCTGCATGATCCTCCAGTGTTTCCCTACCTCCTTAGGCCCAAGCCCTTGGGTTCTTACACCACTGACACCTGCAAGCAAAGCTTAAGTAAGAGGGACCAGGCCCTGCCCAGAGGAGACGAGGACTTGCTCACATACCTTGGTAGGAATTAGCTTCTTGAAAAGTCCCGTCCCCAAAGCACTGTCATAATCTGACCTGCTCTGAGTTCCCTAAAAATCCCCTTGACAGACCATTGCCATCATCTAACCTGACTACTGGTTTCTCTACTTTCAGGGCGTTTGTTAAGAAGAATCAGAAGCACCCGGCGGTGGTGGTGCCACAAACCTTTAATCGCAGCACTCAGGAGGCAGAGGCAGGTGGATCTCTCTACAGAGCAAGTTCCAGGCCAGACAGGACTACACAGAGAAACCCTGTCTCAAAAAATGAAGAGGAGGAGGAGGGAGGAGGAAGGAGGAGGAGGGAGGAAGGAGGAGGAGGTGAAGCAATTCTTTCACATTACAGCTGTGATACAAATCAGAGCAAACACTTAACCAAAGCTGAAAAGGAAGTTTTACGTTTTTTAAGTTTTAAGATCATCCAGGAAAAAGAAATATCCTCGGGGAACTCTGCATGTTCCTGGAGCTCTAGAAGACCATGTGTGTGTCCTTGCACAGGAAAGCCCCAGGAGGACATCGCTGTCACATCTGACTTTGAGTCTCTTCCCAAGCAAGAAGCGGAGACTAAGGCAGAGTCACAAACTACTGAGAAATGCTTCTCACCTGGTAAAGGCTCAGGTGAGCGGTCTGAATATGGACAACCTCAAAAGATGCAAAGAAAGCGAACTCACACGCGGTCCTTAAGGAAGTTAACTGCTGTCTTTCACCGGAAACTAGTAAAACCTGGAAGAAGTGGGATTATTTTCCAAAACACAGAAGCCAGGAAGCAATCAACCAAAAATTCTGTATCCAGCAAAACCATTCATGAAACGTGAGGGAGAAATGAAGGCCGACCCAGATGGACAAGGACTCCAAGTTCTCTCAGCAGAGCTGTCCTTTATGAAATACTAATTTGAGACCTTTGTGAAATAAGAAGACATTAGATGTTCACTCAACCCACATAAAGAAATAAAGAACACCTATATAACTAGATGTAAAAGACAGCTTAAATGTATTTTTGTCTAAATCATAACTACACAAAGCATTGATTACAAAACTGTGGTAATTACAAAGACGTAATTAATACCACAATAAAGACACAGAGGACAGGAAGGGAGCAGAGATACACGGTGACAAAGAGTTTATGCCACTGAAGACAGTATTAATCAGAACTTTGAGATAACTAACGTAAAATGCTAGAAACATCACACTAGAAAGCGTCTGTTTAACAAAGAAAAAACCCAGTAACGTATAAATAGGATAAAACCACCACCACCACCAAAACAAGTAAGGGGTACAGAAAACAAATAGTATTTTTTATAAGAAATATAATAAATAAATAAATAAAAATTTAAAAATAAATAAATAAAAATAAAACAAAACAACTTACATACGAGACCTTATCGGGGCTGGTAGTGGTTGCTTATATATTCAGGATTGCCATGAGTTCAAGGTCAACCTAGACTACACAATCCCAAGTCAGCCTAGGCTACAGCATGGGAATCCTGTTCTCCAAAAACAAACAAGCAAAATAACAAAGCTACCATAGTAGCAATTACATTCACTGTAAACAATGTAAAGATTGACTACTTAAACAAAAAAGCAAAGATAAGTGAATAGATCTTTTCACAAAATAAAAGAACATCAGAAAAAGCATCAGATCATCTCCTATACTACATGAAGAAATGAAGAACACTTATAGAATTAGGAATATAAGTCAGCAAATGTGTACTTAGCTCAGTCACCCAGAGGAATCAACTGGACCAAACACATCTATAGAATGCACCACCCAGCAATGGCAGACTACACATTCCTCTCAAGTCAACATAGGATAGACTCCGGAATACATAATAGACTAATTTATAAGCAAGCCTTAGACATTATGAAGAAGTGACTAAAAATATAAAGGTATGTTTACTGATTTATCAAATTAGAAATGAATAAAAAGGAAGTCTGGGAAATAGACAATGACGTGGGACTAGATAGAATTCTGAAAAACTCAGAGAAGCCACAGACATTTTGAAAAGCTTAAGAGCTGAGTGTGATGGCATGTATCTGTGGTCCCAGCACCGAGGGGGCAGAGGCAGGAGGATTTTAACTTCCAGACTAGGATGTGTTGTGAGATTTTGTCTCAAACAAACGAAATCCAACAAAACAAAACAAAAAAATTTGGAGGAGAAAACTGATAATACAGCATACCAAAATGTATAGATTGCAGTTGTGAACCTAGAAGACACAGTCCTAAATGTCTATGTGGGAAAAGAAGATCTCAGTAACTTAATCCTGCACATGAAGACACTGGACAAGGGCAAGCCAAACTCAAGTTGAACAAATGGGATGAAATTACAATGGAAATAAGTGAGGATTAGGGACACAGTAGTGGAAACTAACACAAAGATGCTTCGTTTAAAGGATGTGGGGGGAGGGGGTTTGTTGGAGACATAGTTCCGCAGTTAAGAGCACTGGCTGCTCTTCCAGAGGACCTGGGTTCAATTCCCAGCACCCACATGGCAGCTCATAAAATAAAAATAAATTAAAAAAAATAAAATAAAAGATAGCCAGCCAGGCTTCACAGACTTTAGGTAGACGAGTCAGGACAAAGAAGACAGCTCAGGTCACTGCCGCAGGAATGAAAGTGTGGACATCACTACCGATCTTACAGAACAAAATTACCAGGCAATGATATGAACAGCTCACTGTCAATAAACTAGGTGAGTCAGATGAAACAAAAATTCCTTGACAGACAAACAGCCCGAGAGAAACAAAATGTAAACAAACCTTTAACCAATAATAAGTATTTCTGAAAAGAAAGCCATGGGACCACCTGGCTTTAATGATGAATTCTATCAAGCACATAAAGAAAAAATAGCACCAACTGTTCACAGACTTCAAAGAAATAGAAAAGAATGTATTCTCAATTCCTTCTACATAGTCAGTATTCCTGAGATACTGAACACAGAGGTATCTCAAGAAAACTTCCAGCCAATATCCCTAATCAATGCAGACTTTAAAAAGTCTCAAAAAAAAAAAAAAAAACCACTAGAGTGTGGTGGCACACATTTTTAATCCCAGCACTAAAGCAGAATGCTGGGATTCAAGGCAGAGGCAGGAGGATCTCTGAGTTTGAGGCCAGTCCTGTCTACAAAATGAGTTACAAGACAGCCAAGGCCACACAGAAACCTTGACTCAAAATAACAAAAACAAACAAAAAAAATCTCAAAAAAAAAAAAGAAAAAACCAGCCAGGCGGTGGTGGCGCACGCCTTTAGTCCCAGCACTCCAGAGGCAGAGCCAGGCAGATCCATGTAAGTTCGAGGCCAGCCTGGGCTACCAAGTGAGTTCCAGGAAAGGTGCAAAGCTACACAGAGAACCCCTGTCTGGAAAAACCAAAAAAAGAAAAGAAAAGAAAAAAAACATAAACTATCAAAATACAATCTAAATCATCCGATGAACAGATAAACATTCATACTAAGGAATGTTATTTTGCTATAAAAAGGAATGAAGGAACTACATAAAACCAAAGTTCACAGGTGGCAGGAAAGTGGTTTAGCGATCGCCTGGGGACGTCAGAGGAGGGTGACAGGGTGAGGGATAGCTGTCTCAAGAACTAAGAGTGGCTGTCGATGGGCATGAAGTTTGTTCTGGGAGTACCGAAAATGTTTAAATTATGGTTACGGCCAGGCGATGCTGTGACCTCGCTGTAACTGTTGAGTTGTGGTGTACTTTAATGGACAGGTTCTATGGGATGGGAAAATAAAGGTGTTCAAGAGTTTAGTGAAGGAGTATATGGTGGAAGATCCCAACAAAATACATAAACTCCGGTGGATGGAGTTAGGGGTGCTATGGAGATTTATTTTGTGGGACTGAATCATTTGAAAGTTCCCTAGATTCCCAGAGGTGGCTCTCCTATCCTCGCAAGGATCCACAAACTACCAGGATGAGAAAGTGTATTTACAGGTAGTTCAGGACTCTGAAGGCATCTGGGAGGCTCTCAGTCCTAAAGGAGCATCAGGCCTCTCTAAGAAGGTTGACTCTTTTCTCGGACAAGAACCTCCACCCCTCACTAAGGCGAAGGCCTGCAGAGCTGACCCAACAGTGTGCTGGTTAAGTAGACCTGCCTTTAAGCATGGTCCTAGGAGGGCCACTGACCCAACCAATATCTTAGCACCCCCATTCTAGCCAGACTGCTGCCAGCTCCGTGTGAGGGCAAACGGCAGGTCTGAGATCAAGCTGCCATGGGCCTGGGAGGTCATCAGAGGCTGCTTATTTCTCTTTCTAGATGCACGCACTGAGGTTCTGAGTTGTAACCAGAAAAGGGAAGAGCTGAGAAAAATCACTGGGCTTTCTGGAGCCACTCGAGATGGTGCGCATGTCCAAAATGTAGCTGGCAATGAAGGGCTCGGGAAGGGAGGGCTAGCCTGGCTAGGAAATGGAACTAAAGCTCTGCCCGAGGCCAGTTCCTGTTTTAAGAAACCCACAAGGCTGCTGCCTGGGACACTTGAATGGGGAAGAGGTGACTGACAGAGGACACTTCTCAGAAACACAGTGGGACCTGCACAAACCCTGAGCCACAGGCGGGATGTTTGTGGGGCCTTGCCCTCTACACAGTCACGGGGTGCTGACCTCCTGGCCATCATTCCCAGGCCCTGCTCCACCCACATCCTGTTCCACCGCCTCTGGAGCCGAGTTGAACACCAGCTGCCCCAGCCACTGGCCTCAGATGCCCATCCCTAGAGCTCACTGTTGGCAACGTGGGCTAGACTCTTCCAAACAATCTACCACTGGGGGTTTGTTGTTGGGTGGCCAGACTCACACGGGGCCCTACCAGTGGGGAGCCAAAACGTCACCCTGCCTGTCTACATTCTGCTTTCCAGTGTTGACAAAACACATAGGTACAGCGTCTTGACAGAGGTGACAAGAGGTGACCACTAGGGGCAGCCAATCAGACCAGCTCCACCCCTGAAGAATGAAGTGAAGGGGCCCTGCAGGCCACCTGCTGGGCTCGATCACTCTCTGCCTGGCTGAAGGCATACACAGCAGGGCATAGGACCAGAGAGATTCAGGCCATGTGGTGGGCCAGGCTGGCCAGGCACTGGAGAGACATGTCACCAGACGAAGGAGCCAAGCCTTTTCCGTATACAAAGACGGCAAGGCAGGTCTGGGGAGGGACACGTGTGACTGCGTTTGTAAATGAGACAGTGCTTGGGCAGCAGACTAGAAGAGGCCTGGGATGGCCAGCCTGGAAGCCCGTGCAGCTGACAAGAAGGAAGGTGGTCTGGGGAGCTGGACCGTGGCGCACCCAGCCTTCCACTGTCGGAGGGGGTAGGAAAGGCTCCAGCCGAGAGCTGAGCAGGGGCTGCACCTGCTGGTTGAGACGGACGCTGCAGAGGAGAGTTGGAGGCTGTGGGTCTGCATCCGCTCGGTCCTCAGGGTCCTGGAGAGACAGAACTCAGAAAGTAGGGGAAGCCACAGCGAACGGAGTGAAACGGGACCAAAGGGACAGTCACACAGACACAGATGAAAGGCTAGAAGGGTGCAAGAGGGAGGACAGAAGGGCCTGGGGTCCTCAGGCGCTTGGAGCGCCAGAATAGCTCACTGGTCCAGCAAGGGTGGATGGAGGCTGCCATTGGCTGGCTGAACTCAGGGCAGCGGTGGTGTGGGGGTCAGGTGGGAGTAGAAGGAGGCAGGCAGGATGGAAAGGCCCTGGGTGTCAGGACGGAAGACAGAATGATGGGGAGGTCCCAGGGGGCACAAAGTGGACACATGACTGACTGGAGTGGTGGTGGGCTGACTATACTTTCTGATGAGGGACTTAGGCTTCTAAGGACAGAGGGAGGCGTGAGGAGAAGGAAGTGAGGGTTTCTGGAAGCGAGAAGAGCTTCTGACCAGTGGAAAGAGTGAGAAGCCAAAAGCCCCAGAGGGGGCAGGACATGAAGCAGAGGCAGGGTCGTAGCATCTGGGTCTCAGGGCCCTGCCCTCTGCTCTCTTGTTGCTTCCCAGCCTAGATTCAATTCCAACTTAATGCCAGGCTCAGGGGCATCTCCTTCTTCCAGCCCTCGGTCCTGGACAACCACACGATACTGAGGAACTGGATAAATATGCCCCATAGCCCTAGACACACGCATCTAGAAACACTCTTGGAACGACGTCAGACTGGTACCTCTGCTTGGACACACATGGCCTCTGCAGAACAGACCTGTTCTCATTTCTCTGGGAGTACCTGGGGCCCGGTCCTGCCTCTGCAGCAACCAGCCACACAGAGGACACCACCGCTGCCCTGAGTTCAGCCAGCCGATGGCCTCTGGACAAACTCCAGCACTGGGTTTTAAAGCCCCACGGATGCCGCTGCTAAACCAGTCTCGGGCACTAGGGGAAGTTTTGAGGCTCTCTTTGCCAGATTCCATTCAGATTATTGGAATTTTTCTACTTCTTCAAATACACTTTCATACACAAACAATAAGCTAAAACGTTCTGTTGTAAAAATTTAGCTTCAGGAACATCCAGGAATGAAGTCAGCAAGATCAGCAGCTGCTTCAGCTGTTGGTCCAGTGAAATATCAGTAACTAAAGGGCCTGTCTGAGCGAAATGAATTTGTTCGTGTGCGTGCGCGCGTGCGTGCATCTCTCTCTCTCTCTCTCTCTCTCTCTCTCTCTCTGTGTGTGTGTGTGTGTGTGTGTGTGTGTGTGTGTGTGTGTGTGGTGAGACAGGTTTCACTGTGTCGTCCAGACTGGCCTTGAATCTACAAATAATTCTCCTGCCTCAGCTTCCCAAGTTCTAAGATCACAGGCCTCATGCCTGGTTTCTTCCTTTTTGTAATCTGTTCTAAAAACCAAATACACATCCACTTCAAGTTGAGAGTCTGAGTCTTCTCAGGTAACTAGCAAGCACACACAGCCTTGGAAACCAACTTGCTGAGTTACTGCTATGGCAACTGAGCTTAATATCTAAAGCAGAGATCCTTAAAGTGTATCCAGCGGTATGTGCACCAGGAGGTTCTGTGCAAAGCAGTTTCCCTGGACACAAGCCGAGAGGCCACAGTTCACCCAACACACCGCTGCACAAATGTGCCAAAGGCCCTGAGAGGGCCCGCCAGAAGAGACCTTCCAAACTTTGATAAATGGTGATGTGATCCCTCAGGTTATTTGACCACAGAACAGTCCACTTCTTTCATTGATTGCAGAATTCATTGCAACTAATGAGCCAATCTGCCCACCACCTACCCACCCAGTCCTGGCCACATACGTTCAAATGTGTTAAATGTATCAAGACCATATAAAAACATTTGGAGATTTTTACATTAAGAGGCCAAGTAACGATCTGCCTTTCTTGGGCCGAGGACTCTAGCTGCATGGGTTTCCTCCTCCTGTGGGGACTGGCTGCAGCCCACTCTGGCATCACCGGGCTTCCCTCCAATCCTAAACTTAACCAGCCCTGCTATTTCCATGGGCTGCAGAACCTTTGTGAAGGCATTCCACACTAGGTTCCTGTCAGAGGCAAGCAGGAGAACATTGCCAGGCCAGACAAGCAGGAGAACATTGCCAGGCCAGGCTGCCCCTCACTTGGATGGGCATAGCCAAGCGTGGGGGGAGTGTCTTCTGCTCTAGATAAGTCGAGCAGCAGGAGATGCCCCGGGGTTCCTTCTAGGGTGCTTACTGAACACATGCTAGCCCTAAGCAAGTCTTTGCAGATCTACCCGTGTCCCCAGACAGATTCACACAAGCCTTGTTTACAGAGGAGGGCTCAGAAAAGACCAAAGCGACCTACCTAGGCCCCGCCCCCACAGAAGTCCTTGCCTTTGGACTCTGACCTGCCCGCAGAAAGCAGCTACAAGCCCCTCCCCCGGAATCCCATTGTTGCCTTGGCTGAATTGGCTCTCTGCCCGGGCCCCCAAGCATGAAGCCCCACAAGCAGCATTCTTTCATTTTTCTTTTAAAAATCAAAAGCTAAGAAGACAGATGCAGTGGAACAGCCATAACACAGTCCAGTCCAGGATGGTATCAATTTGGTTCAGGCTGCCGGTCTGGATGCTTGGTCCCGTCTAAACTCCCACGGTCAGGTCTGTTTAGTCATGCTGTGGGCCACCTCAAACCCTTC